TCCGTCCGTCCGTCTGTCTGTCTGTCTGTCTGTCTGTCTGTCTGTCTGTCTGTCTGTCTGTCTGTCTGTCTGTCTGTCTGTCTGTCTGTCTGTCTGTACGCATGTATGATTTTTACGGTTCTTCTGGGTTAGGAGGAAATGGTCCTGTGTGAATAGAAAGGCAAGAAAAATCTGAACCTTCTAAGGGAAAATGTAATTCCCCTATGTAAGAAAGTTTCACACTTTTCTATTTCTTCCTCTCTTTTTCGTTTGACGATGTAGGTGTGAATGTTTGTAAAAAGCTTTACTACACCTCTATCGTCACACTTCTGATCGTTTAGGAGGTGGACTGCTTCGAGCCTGCCTGCCAGGGACAATCCGGGTTGAGAGGGATACAAGATTTAAGGAGAATGACGCGGATACACGCTAAAATAGACTTCCCGGTGCGGGAATTGAACCCATGTAATAAGTACCCCTTTGATGTGATTTGGGGAAAGTCTCTGGTTTTGTGGGCCGCTCCCGGTCGATTAGACCACAGTTCTTTCATATATCTATCTATCTACTTTTTCCATTTGGCATCGTCTTTGTTTCATGTGCACAAGTAAGCGCACCGTCGCACACCGTAGGCTTGAGTTTGATTTCTCTGTGGGGAGGTTTTTAATCGAGTATCACCGTCTGTCTGCTGGAACTTTGTTTCCCTTTCTGTCCAAGTTAGCCTTGAAGTTGACAGGCAATGTCAAAGCAACCCGCCTCTTCTATGATCTAAATCGTGTCAATAGAAGCATAAGATACTATCATAATATTTATGTTATTTCACGTATGCACCTTAAACTTGAATGCAGAAGGCAGTCCAGTTGTGAAGTGTATTGCTTTCTCCTTCTTTCCCAGAACAACTCCAATCTGGAGGCTGTGGAGCTGAAGGAAGTGCACCGCATGGCCCCCGCCCCGATGGGCATCACCAACAGCCAGAGTTTCAACTTAGAGCTGGATGACGGCTCCATAGAGACGTCCGGTTTCCGAATGGCACCCACCATACCCCGCCCCTACACCAGCCACGCTCCTACCACCGCCCACGGCTATATCCCGAGCACCGTCGTCCGGCGGCGGAGCAGCAGTCACGTGCCCCCACGCAGGCGCAGACTGCTGTCGAACTTCCGGCAGAAGGCCAAGTCCATCAAGGTGAAGATTCCCCGCGTGCAGGACGTGAACACGATAGACAAATACGCTCGACTAATGTTCCCGCTCCTCTTCATTATCTTCAACGCCAGTTATTGGGCGGTATACTTGCTTACGTGAACTCAAGTTTGGAATTTGTTGTTGCCTCGCCCTTACCTTTTCATTCGAATATTTTTTTTCCTCAGCAAGCCGGACTTGCAAATTTCTCGTTATTGCGCAGCAGGTATTGGCTGAGAAGTCAACTGGACACGTCAAACTGGGCACAAGGACTTTGATGTGTACCCAGTGGGTGACGTGCTGTTGTTTGTGCTGACGAATACTCACCGCTCTCTAGCAAAATAGACGACAATTCTGGCGATGGCAGGGCAGCAAGAGATCTTCTGGGACCTCAGAGAAGAAACTTTTCTTTACAAATATTTCCTCATCGAATTTATGGACACTAAATTTGATGTGTTCTGTCTTGAAGCGGTGAATTTGTGGGGTCTATTCTGGGATACTCTGTACTTCCTTTTCTTTTTGATGTATTGATGAGTTTTGATTCTTCTCTGGGGTAACATAAATGTCTTCGGCATTAGAAGGTCGAGGAGTGTGAAGGAAGGTAACCTGATTTAGTCCCATGTGTCACATTGAGCGCGTGTGCGGGTGCGTGTGTGTTTGTGTACGTGTGCGTGCGCGTGTGTATGTGTATTTGTGTGTGTGTGTGTTGTGTGTGAGTGTGTTTGTACGTGTGTGTGTGTGTGTGTGTGTGTGTGTGTGTGTGTGTGTGTGTGTGTGTGTGTGTGTGTGTGTGTGTATAAAGTTAAGACTTTTGTTGTCACAGTGCACTGTCAATGCCAAAAAGTTGACAATAATCCTACTGGATATCCGACAGAGAAGAAATTATTTGTTTGCTGACTCGACTTTGAACGCAAAACTGGTGTGTGTTATTCAGTCTCGAAGGCAACTGCTTCACGTCAGTGGGTACCCTAAGCATCATTTCTTTGCTTCAGCCAGGATGTAAAAACCAACCCCACGGCCCCGAGAACTATGTTCAAAGACATTGAGATACAAGGACTCTCCTATGTGCGTGGTAGTCGATCTATTCAATAACATTTTGGTTTTGACGAAGTTTTGCTGCCGATGAAAGAAAGTACACGTAAATTCTCCATGCACGTGAAGCCACGAGCTGTTGCTTCTTTTCGATTGAAAAAAAAAAATTCAGTTTCAATGGACTCTATAGCTATGGAAGTCACCAAAATATGACAGCTATTTTCTCTCTAAGTATACTTCTGAAACGAGGCGACCCCCACCGCTTTTTACCGCAAATAGCTCCATTTTTATTCAAAGTAGATGGGTGTTTTTCATCAAAAGTTAGACAAATCAACAAACAAGCATTACATTATGATGATACCAATAGCTTCACTTGCCCGAAAATTGACGAGTGCCTGATTTCAAGGCGTTGTGTCACATACATAGTATGAGTTGAAGATAAATCTTTAACCTGAAGGGAAGTTAAGTAGAAGGTCTGATGATTTTATTTGTGGAATAAGCGTCTGCGATATCCGCTTGAGATATATACATGCATGTCGAGTATTATTACTTTTATGACCTCAGCCACGTCATTACTTTGCTTTCTGAAATACTTTTGACAACAACAAAAACGTTGTTTGAATGGTCGTATTCAGTAGAAGAACTCATTTCAAAGACTTCATCTTTGTGTAGACAATGTGGTTTTGGTATGATGCTTTGGGTTGCATCGATGCACTCCAAGAAGAATAAACTATTGGTCTTCATCATCATCATCCTCATTGTTTGGAGAGCAGAGTAGAAGGGAGAGTCTTGTTTGATTTTCAGACGAAACTTGAAAATATAAAATGCTTAAAATGTGTTTAATAGACAGCTCAACGTTTCGCTTCTTGGGCTTCCTCAGGAGGAGAGGAAAACTCGATGGGCATTGTATAATAGCAGGGAAATGGGCACCATCATCATCATCATTTGCTTAGTACAAGGGTTGTAACTAACCATATTTCGTTGGGTAAATCACTTTAACTAATGCTCAGCCTTTGCCAACGCACACTACTGAACTGTTACAGACAGTACTTCCATTGTAATGTAACCCAATTGCTACCTTGTTTTCTTTTGCCATTTTCCCCCGTTTGTCATTCTTTCATTAGCAACATCAAGGGGTGTAATGGTTTTGCGCTTTTCTTTCCGCGTAATTGACGTGTGAGCAGGTGACGTGTGGGAGCTTGTTCTGTTGGCTGTCTCCATCTTTCAGCCGTTCGTTTCTCACACAGCTCACCTCCAAAAGTACCTAAATTGTTTCGATGGAGACGTAAATCGCTTACAACCTTAATGAGGTATTGATTAATTACATAATTTTGCTGTGCATTTCGGGAGGGATAAGGGTAGTATGTTCTAGGAGCCTGGGGTGTCGTTGTGTGTGTTCAAAGGAAAAGACAAGGAATAATATTATGCGTATTTTTATGAATATCTCGCCTACTTGAATGAACAAACCAAACGCTATCCTGCAGAATCTTGTAAGCGTGGACATATGTGTGCCTTTTTCATTACGCAGATGAAGCGTCTCAATACTCAATAGATTCGGCATTTGTACCTCTCTAATATGTGTCTGTTACTTTACTTTACTTTTCCTATCCAGCGGCCATTTGAGTTCTAGACCTTCGGCTTTGTATATGTATGTTCGTTGAGTTTTTGTGATTTTCTTTTCTTTTTTTTTTTTCTTTAGTTCAGAACGAAAAAGTATCAGAGGCACGCACTTTTAAAAAAAAGAAGACAGCAAAGCTGCTTACTATCCGTGATGCGCACTTTTTAACGAAATCTCTCAAATTAGATTTACCTCTACCATCCATTGACGAAAAATTAGTCTGTGATATTTCTGTATAAAAAATAATACTAGTTTTCAAAAACGCTCTTGTTGTTTATTTGTTTGGGGTTTTTTGCTTCTGTTTAATTACTTGGTCAGTGGAATTTTGTTTCTCTCATTGAGGCCTTGGAGTGCACGAGGATGCCAAAAATGACCGTTAATCGAATCAATGGTATGTTGTAACACGACAACAGAAGGAATTTGTTTTACAATGTCATTACCCTGTCACGCAAATGGCTGACGCAGGGTTAGAGTGCGGTGCTGCTCAATGGATAGCGAGGACATTATCACAGAAAGCACTAGAAATCGACTGAAATTTAATTGTCCCAAGCTCAGTAAAACTATGAGAGAAATTAAATCTGTGGGTGGCATTGGTAATAAGTAATCAAATAATATATTGATATCACTAATGAAGTGTAAATCCTTGATAGTGTACGGCTTTGATTTTTACTTTTATTCGAAAGTGCACGACTCCTATAGCTCCCCTTCTGAGCACTGCAAATACCTCCATATTCCTATAACAGACGAATTAAAACTGCGGAAACAGGATCTCAAATTTGGAGATCAGATGCCGTTGCGAAAAGCAACTAGGCAAATTGTCAGGGAACATGTCATCTGGGGACACACTGACACCATCCATACTTCTTATGCATACATCAGGTACATCATTTTTTCATTGGCAAACAGATTCAAAGCAGTGCTGACTACTGTTGGACTACGATAGGGACAGAAACCTTTGAATCAAGCTTTCGTGAAAATATCGCCTTTCCTTTTCTATGTTCTTCCCGGTACCTTTTTCCTCCTCTGCAAAGAGCTCATAACTTAAAATACATGTTCTAAAAAACTGAGATCTAGATACTTGAAAAGAGTGCATCAGTGGGAAGCTGTATATATTATTACTTATGTGTTATATAGTATCCTTATTGGTGTGTTT